CCCCCCTTTTTGATTTCGACCCACTACAATTTCCCCCACTAGAAATCTGTAGAATTTAGAATTCAATCCCTATTATTCAGTGGGAACGTCACTTAATTTCTATGGACACTGTTCTTGCGCACCGGTACCACGCCCTGCGTCATCCATGTGCTCGTGCCGCGCCTTCGCGTCTACACACGACCAAACTCCCCCTTGGGCCCAGAAACCTACTGCCGCCCCAGGTTTATAATCATAACCCCTCTGCACTGAAACAATAATTACTTTATCTAAGACTTAAATACAACTCACTTAAACTTCAAATGATAACCGACACCAAACCCGTAAATTTACAACAAAACCCACAAAATATCTAAAAAGAAAATAGCTCACCGGCTGGAGAAAGAAATGCCCATGCAGTAAAATAAACGACTCCTAGGCTACCCGTTCACCAGACTAACTTCTGGAATTCGCCATAGAAAATCGACTACAGGAACAAAATCATCAGGGGTCCACCGTATGCATAGATCAATCAATTTCTTTGAACTTCATTTGATTTTAATTTGGATCTAATGATAAGATCGCCTATATTCTTGTGTTTACCACCATAGGGGATGTTGTGAATAATTCTTTGCATACATCATCATCAAGTATGTAACTCCAACATTTCATAAGTCGTTTCCTTAACCCCTTTATATATGGGTTAAACTTGGTGACCAAAACGTTTGGTACAGCCATTTTGTTGTTTTTCTTCTTTGATTTTTTAAGAAGATCCATTCTATTTGCAGAAATAGTTCCTTGCATAATAGGTTCAATATCTGAATGTTTATAAACTCTTTTTACGAGATGAGTTTTGAAATCTCTAAAGATAACTTCCAGTACAGCTTGATCACTAGTATTTCTCAGATGTCTGGTACATTCTCCTTTATTTAGGCCCTTGAAAACTGATGGGCTATGAGCACTTTGCCTGTGCAAGTATTGGAAGCTGTTAGTAGGTTTGGTATACGAGCGAATGTCTTATCGCTGGCTATCTAAGAATCTTGTGCCTTTGTAAATCGTAGCGTCCAAGAAGTTGACACTTGTGTGAGATATTTCATAAGTGAATCTCAAATATTTATGACAAGAGTTCCCTATGTCAAAAATTCTTTAATATAATCCGAGCTTCCGTTAAATAGGATAAAGCCGTCATCTTTAAATCTGCCGTGATAAATAAGTTTGTCGGCATGTTGAAATTTTGATATTACATCATCAATGATGTCTTTCATACGTATATATTATATCCAGTTTTTATAATTCTCAAAATATCATCAAATGCACCTATCTTTTCCCAGAAATCATAATGCTTGTGCAGACTATTTTTCACTCCTGTATAAGACTCATTTGAATCTTGTACTGATAAAAATTAGCAATGTTCAATCATTATCTCATTATCAGTTATCTGATCAAACATATATACAGATAGTATATACTTATCATCAAGTTGACTTAGTACTGGAGCCTGCACTGCTGGTGTATTGACCTGCACTGCTGGTGTATTGACTGTTGAGGGGGGATATCTCATTTTCCAATGCCCAGTCTGGAAGCACTTGTAGCAGAAGTCGCTGGGCTGTGGTGTCCGTCTGCTACTGTAGCGAAAGGGCTGCTGAATAAATTCGCTGGTGCCGGCTTGTTGTACTGTGTTTGCCTGTTGCAATGCGAGTACGGAAAGCTGAGCAGCAGAACCAGCAGCAGCAGAAGGAACGGGCTTACCATAAGGTTGGAAAGGCTTTTTAATCTGTCTTTTGTGTCTGAGGGCTCTGTTCTCCGCGCTCCTAATCTTTTTCTCGTCATCTGAGTTGTCGGCAATATCATTACATTGGTACTCTTGTACTGTCTTCCACCCTGCTGGGGAACCGCCTGCAATTCTGATATACTTTTGCCTAGTTTTAAGTTTTTCATTGATTCGTTTAACAACTTTGTCATGATGAGTAGATAAATCTTTGAGTTTATCAAGTTCCTCTAACAATTCCTCATTAAACAAATACTGAACCTTGTTTCCTTCGTATTTTAACTTCCCAGCTATGTTGTCCTTGAGTTTCTTAGACAGTTCTTGAGCTGAAGATTGACTGTCTTTCCTGAAGCTTTTCAGATAGTTGTTGAAATTGGGTGGATATAGCTGTAGACAATAGTTTGACTGCGTCTGTCAATGCGAAGGAATTAGACGTGGACTGTGCGTTATCTGGCAACTTGGGAATCCCTCCTGTTGTCTTCAGTCATGAGAATATCTTCCTCCCTCATTATCCATGGAGAAAAAACTTTGTCTGACTGCACTGTTTGAGAGAGAGCCTCCGAATGGCGTTAAACTTTAACACACGGTAAAGCGTGCGTGCTTCAATAGAATACCTGTAGAACAGGTATTCTAAAAATACACTAACCAATCCGATCGGTTATCTATTTTAAACAACATTAGGTAACACGTTACGATAGATACACGTGTTGTGATACCTTCAATAAATACATGGATGTCGGTGAAGTCACGGACCTCATACTTTGTACTAATTAGGGTGTCGTTGAAGTCATGGGCCTATTATTAGGTGCTATATAGGCTGTCAGTGAAATCACGGGCCTCATACTCAGTACCATGTAGGGTGTTAGTGAAGTCACGGGCCTCATACACAGTACTATATAGGGTGTCAGTGAAGTCACAGGCCTCATACTCAGAACTATATAGCATGTCAGTGAAGTCACAGGCCCCTAGGGTGTCCATAAATTCACAGGCTGTATATCCATAATTATGTTAGCTCTAGACCTTGTATAATTTTATTTTACTTTAAATATATAGGTTCATTATCTTTCTAACTGTCAAAATTCATTAAATTCATAAAACACGGTGCGTAGGGCTAATGATCTGACTGTTTATCAATACGTCAAGAAAAGTACACATAAACGGCTTACGTATCAATATATGTGTGTTTACAATCGAAATCACGGGCTTCCTGTTATCGAGTTCACGTGAACTCAATAACAGGATGCCCGTGATTTCGTAAGCCGGTTATAGACTCTCCCGTTTACGTCAAATCCTAGACGGCAATTTTGCATTATATTCTGGCTGTGAGTACAACGTAAACATTGATCTGGACTGAAGTCGAAAACATTTTTTAAACACATAATGTCATTTACTCAAAGATCAAGTGGTCTTGAAACTGCCACTGTACAGAGTGCTGGGGCTGATGGGGGCGTGGAAGAACGAGACGATGAGGGGTATACCCTGGATGAAGAGGAAGACCACAATTCAAAAGAAACAAGATTGACTTTAATGGAGGAAATTCTTTTACTAGGACTCAAGGATAGGGAGGTGCATATCCATTTGCCTGTTAAGAATGCATATTGCAAAATTATTGCACTACGTTCAGTTAATTGCAATGCATATCTTACCTATGTAGGTAGGGACTGACCCAATCACTGGGCAGGATGTGATGTGTATTGATGAGGAACATATTTTTTTTTCTTTCTCAATTTGGTTTAGCTACCGTATAAGTGGAAATTTTAGCGAGACGCAAATTTAGCGATTTCTTCCTGAAATATGGTATTTTATTTTTAACGAGAAGTAAATTTAGCGATTTTGAAATGATAACTAAAGAAACTATTGCAAATAATACGCAATTAAATTTTAGCGATATTCAATTTTAGCGATGTCAGGATATTCGCTAATAATGCCAAAATTAAATCCTCGCTAAAAATTCTACTTATACGGTATATCTGTGTGAATTTTTTATTTTCCAAGCTTTCAAATTTATGTATTTATTTTTTATTAATTATTATTTAATATAATTAGTTATTTTTTATCTGACTTTATGGGTTAAACATAGTTCTTAATTTATGTTACTCTCATATGACTTTATTTATTTTATAATATTCACATTATTTTTATTTTTGTTGCTCTTAATGCAATCATATTGCTTTTAGGTTTTTTTCTAATTAATTCAAAAAAATCTATTGATTCTTAAAATTTGTTTAATTCTTAAAAATTCGTTTTATCTGCCATATGTATGTGTATATATGTACATGTGTTTTAGCATGTTAATTTATGTTGTAAATGCGATATTTTAACTGTGATAGTCGGTTTAAGAGCTCTACAGAGCTCATTTTTCTTGTTATGCAATGTATACAATGCCGACTTTAAATAAAATGTACTTTCTTACTTAATTCGAATTTCCTCGAAAGTGTGTATATATGTCAGTATGTACCTACCTACCTAGTCCTTGTTATGCCCGTGGGCATATAGGGCAAGGACTAGATTTCTCCACTTTTCTCTATCTTTAGCATTTCTTTCTAGCTCTCCCAACGTTAGCTTGTGGTCCTTCATTTCTATTTCAACCGTCCTTCGCCAGTTGGTCTTTGACCGACCAGGTTTTCTCTTCCCTTCCGGTGTCCATCTAAGGGCTACTTTGGTGATGCTGTCGGCTGGCTTCCTCAACACATGCCCTATCCATCGCCATCTCCGTTTAGGCAACAAAGTTCGCATGTTGTCTGTGTTGGATTTCTCATTCGACATGTAGTTCCACATTTGTAATTTTGTTTGGCCAGAAAATCCTCATGATCTTTCTGAGGCATCCATTGTAGAAACTAGAGAGTTTGCATATGTCTCCTTCTGTCATGCTCCAGCATTCTGACCCATAGAGTAGGACAGGCAGTATGCAGCTGTTATATATTCTTATTTTTGTCCTTTTACTTATGTCATTTGTTTTCCAGATGTTCTTGAGGCTTATGAAGGCACCTCTAGCTTTACTTAGTCTGCCCTTTATATCTTTGTCTGCACCCCGATCTGATGTTACTATGCTGCCATGACAGGTATATGTTGTTGTGTTGCTCATGTCATTTCCATCAACCTGTATTCTTGTTGGTTGTTTGGTGTTTAATGACATAACTTCAGTTTTCCTGGCATTTATTTTAGTCCAATTTTTTTTCTGCATTTCTCTATAATTTTGCTGTTTTACTTTGCATATGCTTTTCCAGATGTCATAGTTCGACCAAGTCATCTGCGTAGTCTAGGTCTTCAAGACTTGTAAAGAGTGTCCATCTCATTTCTGTGTTATTGCCATTTAGGGTTGATTTCATTACCCAGTCAATTGCTAGTATAAAAAAAGAGAGCTGACATCACACATGCCTGCCTCACGCCAGATTTTACAATGAAGCAACCATCTGATGAGCTGCCTATCGAGCAATTAAACTCCACGTAAAAAAACTTTTATCAGTTCTACTATCTTTGATGGTATTCCGTAATGTCCTAAGATCTTCCATTAGCATTCTTTGTGGATACTGTCAAAGGTTTTTCGAAATATGTAAAGTTCATTATGAGCTGTCTTTGCCACTCTGTACATTGCTCTATAATATTTCATAGGGTAAACACCTGGTCGCAACAACTTTTCCCTTTCCTAAAACCTGCTTGCTCTTGTCTTATTTTGGCATTTATTGCAGTTTTAATTCTATAGATAATTATTCTGCTGAAAATCTTACTAGGTATTGATAGTAATGTGATGCCCCTACAGTTATCGCAGTTAGTAAGATCCCCTTTCTTTGGCACTTTAATGATATTTCCTTTGGACCATGTCGTTGGTATTTTATGATTATTCCAGATCTGCTGCAAGGTTTGGATCTGTTTTGAATAGCTCTGCTGGCAGTTGGTCATTTACAGGTACTTTGTTGTTCTTAAGGGCTGTTATTGCTTTGAGTATTTCAGCTTTAGATGGTTCCTCTGCTTCAATTTCTAAATCACTGTCAGCTTCCGGTATGTGTGCCAGTTCATTAGGCTCCGGGCGATTCAACACTTCTTCAAAATATTCTCTCTATCTTTCATCTTGTTCCATTTCGGATGTAATGAGGTTGCCTTGCTTGTCTTTCACAGGCATGTTTGTTTTTCTTTTCCTTCCACTCAACTTTTTTGTTATTTGATAGAGAACTCCCATTCTTTGTTCAGAAGCAGGTTTCTCAGTTTCTCTTGTTATGCCTGCTATAAAACTACTGTAGAAGTACTTTTTTCCGCGTGGTATTAATTTACGCTATGTACGCGGTCACAAATTTTCCGAGGAAATTTGTCCAAGCGTACTTAATATAAATGTAAGGCATATAGTGAGAATCTAGAAAATCCGCGTAATTTTCTACCCGCGGATTAAACAGAAATTGAGATTCCGCGGAATTCTGACCCCGCGGAAAAAAGTACGTCTACAGTATTACGATCTTTCTTTGTTGTTTTCTTCACATCTCTATTGCACTTGGAATATTGCTCTCTTAATCTCTCTTTTATTCTTTTAGAGTGGGTGTTACATAGCTTAGTTTTAAGGTCTTTCCTTCTGTCAATGATATTCCAAGTATCTGGTGTAATCCATTTCTTATGCACCTGCCTCTTAAATCCTGGACACTTCTTGCTTGATTCGCTGAACAGGTTGCAGATTTCATTCAAGTGTTCATCAACCGCTTCATTATCAACATCACCACATTGCAAGACTTGAAATCTGTTCTTTAGCTCTAATCTGAAGTCTTGCCTCACTTTATTTTCTCTCAGCTTGCCTGTATCTATTCGCCTGATGTTGCTTTTTGGCGCTACCTTCATCAGCTTAAGCTTTATGCTGGCAGTAACAAGGTGGTGATCACTTCCAACATCAGCCCCACGCTTCACTCTTACATCCTGTAAAGATCTTTTCCATTTTCCATTGATGGCAATGTGGTCTATTTGATTTTTATCTCTCCCTCCAGTATATGTAACATCATAAATGAAACAAATGCTAATAATTATTTTAAAATATTTAATTGCAGTTTTATTTCTTAATTCATTATTTTTTAACAGATGGGAATAATGAAGTCTATTTGATGAACTCCGGTAGATCTTGACCTCTCTGAATTAAATTTCAGCATCGTTAATATATTTTCTATTTCTCATTTACAATTTCAGGGGTACACATCATTTTGGAATGACTGCATTTCTTCAGGTTTACGAGGTTGCATATTAATAGAACTTGCTCTGCGAGGAAGACTTGAACTTGAAAAAGTAGGCATGCCTAGAAGAAGTCTCCTAAAACGAAAAGTCCTCTTAAAATCATCCAATCCAACAGGAGATGTATTACTGGATGAAACACTGAAGCATATAAAAGAGACATCGCCACCAGAAACTGTTCAAAGTTGGATAGAATACCTCAGTGGTATATATATATATTCTTTATTGATCAATTCATTTTGAAATAATCTGAGATTCCTCTGCCTTTAACCTTGCATTTTATATTGCGACATCAGCTCATCTGTACATTAAAAAAATCAGGGGTTAGAGTCAAAGGAATCTCAGATTTATTTTAAAATTGGTTCATTCTATCCCCACTTAGATCTTGATTAATCAATTAATCATAAAAGTGAGTAATGAATCCAAATTTTGTTTCACTCAGAACAAATATTCTACGATTTTTATTGAAATTCAAAACTAGAAAATAAAAGAGATTTACGGTTGTGACCTTCTAGGTTATTTCAAGGAAGGGATTTTTTCTCAGATTTTTTTAAATTTAATTACTTTTCTTTCTGAAAAATGCATCATAGTACCTACCGTTGTAGCATTAGTTGACCTGATTGGAGTCAGATCCATAGTCAGAAATACACCAATAACCATATATTTTAACTTTATGATGATTGAAATTGTTCAGTTTGACATAATCAGGTTTTTCAAATTGACTTGATTCATCTTTAATTCTTTATTTCTATCTCCGTCATTATTGATGAATGAAGTAAGGGATGTTGTTCCTATTTCTAATATATTTTTGTTCAAATTATTTTTAATATTCTTTATGAAATCCTAAGGGACATTCTTTTGATATTTTGCATCAATCACTCTTGAAATAAACAAAAACTCAATGTAAAATTGTTTTGGAAAGTTTTTGGAATGAATCAAGTGAACATTGATATATATTTTTCCATTCAACCTCACCTAGCTTTATTACAAATTGCATTGAACTACAATACATGATTTGAATTTAAAATATGACATTTCCTTACTACTAAGCTGAGCACCCTGTTTAAGACTGTTCAGGACTCTGCTAGGCTAAAGAATGAATGAGAACCAATCTGCACTATGGTCTTTTTAGGTCACCTGAGTAAACTCATGTGTCCTTTTGCTATCCGTTTTCGTGCGTCGTCGTACGTCGTTTGTAAACTTTTGAACATTTTAAACTTCTTCTCTGGAACTACTGAACCAATTTCAACCTAAATTGGCATAGAGCATCTATGGGTAAAGGGGAACAAAAATTGTGAATTTCATGGTCCCTGCCCACCTGGGGCCTGAGGGGTGGGGCCAAAACCACTTCAATCTTTAAAAATCTTCTTTACTTCTGGACATCAAGCAGTCAAACTGTTGACAAGATTGTAATCAGCATTGAGTCCTCTACCAAAATTGTTAAAATTCATGGCCCCTGGCTCAAGGGTTCTGGTGTTAGGGTGGGGCTATATAGATCATATAGTAAATGTGCATTTTTTATTAGAAAATCTTCTCTGCTCCTGGGTATTAAATTAACTAACTAAGAACATAGTTCTAATGACCAAGAGTGCTTCTACCAAAATTGTGAATTTCATGGCCCTTGCGTCAGGGGTTCTGGTGTTAGGGCAGCTCTATATAGATCATATAGTAAAAGTGCATTATTTTTTTGTAAATCTTCTTCTCTGCTCCTGGGTATTAAATAAACCAACTAAGAACATAGTTATGATGACCAAGAGTGCCTCTTCAATAATTGTGAATTTCATGACCCTTGGGTCAAGGGTTCTGGTGTTAGAGTGGGCCTATATAGATCATATAGTAAAAGTGCATTATTTCTTTGAAAATCTTCTTCTCTGCTCCTGGGTATAAAATAAACTAACAAAGAATATAGTTATGATGGCCAAGAGTGCCTCTTCAATAATTGTGAATTTCATAGCCCCAGGATCAGGGGTTCTGGTGTTAGCGCGGGGCTCTAATGATTGTATGGTAGAAAAACATTAATTCTTCAAAAATCTTCTTCTCTGCTCTCGGTATTAAACTAGCTAACTAAGTACATAGTTATGATTAATAAGAGTGCATCCTCCAAAATTGTGAATTTTATGTCCCCAGGGTCAGGGGTTCTGGTGTTAGGGCGGGGCATTAAAAATCTTTAAAAATCTTCTTCTTTGCTCCTGGGTATTAAACAAACTAAGTAAGTATATAGTCATGATGAGCAAGAGTTTCTCTTCCAAAATTGTGAATTTGTTGCCCCTGGGTTGGGGGTTGTGATGTTCGGGCGAGGCTTTCTTGACTATATAGTGAAAATACATTGTTTCTTCAAAAATCATCTATGCTCCAGGGTATTAAACCAATGAACTATGCAAAAATACATAGTTATGATGAGGAAAGAAGGATCCTCCAAAACTGTGAATTTCATGGCCCCTGGGTCAGGGGTTCTGGTGTTGAGTGGGGCTCTTATGATTATATATAGTGAAAATGGATGAATTCTTTGAATATCTTTTTCATTGCTCCTAGGTATTATGAGAATTATCTTAGTTTATATATTTATGATGAAGAAAGGTGCATCTAGCAAAATGATTAATTTCATGTTCTCTGGGTCAGGGGTATCGGGGGGGGGGGGGGTAACATTACATGGTCTGAAGATAGATCAATGCTTTGAAATCTGCTCTGTAGTATTAATTAATCAACCATTAATGATGACATAAAATTTATGATAAAAGAATGACTGCACTTAAGGACGTTATTTGGAACCTTTTCGGCATACCCATTTAAAGCTTAATATTACAATAAATCGCTGAATTAATCTATGATTAATGTGCAAGCATATGCTTTTGACATTTTTTTTAATAATTTTTCGTCATACATATTTCAATAATTACATACAACGCTATTGAAAAGAACATGTTTAACCCATAAATTCCGGAAAATTGAACTGGACCGCTTTCGATTTTAAGGTCGCAGCAAAGGGGCGGAGACATTTAAATCGCATGGAAATGGATCATAAGCGCATGGTTTTCCGTATTTGATTTATATTATATATATTAAAAAAAAGACCGAGAAGAGGGTTTTGTGTTCATTTTGTACAAAAAATAAATGATTTATAACCATGCATATAATTTCATTAATTTGTATCCACGTAAGTAAGTAGAGTAAGTAAGTAAAGAGCGGAATATTAAGTGAAAAAACAAATAGTTCATAAAAACACAATTGTGATAAATATATGTATGCATTTTGTACGCTTAGGTTGGTAGTGTCTGTTTTGAGAATTATTGGTAGATGAAAATGACACTGAAATACATTTTATTTTTCTGAACATAATGGGCTGTCTTCGCATAAATGAAAAATAATTTGCAACCTGTCTATAGGATAATCTGAAATAAGTACATACAGTAAATCCATATATGACCTAGCCATTTATTGGCAGAGTTAATTTTAAAAAAAAAGTTTTGATCGGTATTCAGAGTACAAAGGACAATGCATTAAAAAAAATGAATTGCGGCTTCTACATTATCAAGCACTGCATAATTTTCTCTATCTAAAAGAAGGTGTTGCAGTTCTTTTGTTATTTTCCCTAAATGTGTAGCAGATTAAAAGAAGAATTTTCATGTTGCAGAAACTCGTAATAATTTTTTTTCAAATGCAACAATATATAAAGCACAACGAGAAACAATATTTGGAAGCTGTGTATTGACTTCCAATTTGCCATTAAATCATGTGAAAATTAGTCTCACGGCAAAATATGTCAGATTTTCCGTTTTTTAAATAGGGAATCCCCATTGTTCTGAAAAAGTGCCTCCTTGAAACAGAATAATTTTGATATATATACAAAGAGGCAGGAATTTTCTTCAAAACTGCCATTTCCGATTTTTGTTTCAAAGAGGCACATTTTTAAAAAATGCAAAATTGAAAGAAAAAAATTATTCTCCAAACGTAATGCAAAATGTGAACATTAAATAACATTCAATCTATCGTGTTCGAAATGTTCTAGTGGATATACTGGTGGGCTTCCAACTAGAACTCTTACCAGAGAATGGGTTCGAATCCTGGAATGGATCATTTTTGCATATTTTTATTTTTTTCTTATTTTTTCCCATATGTAATGGTAGTGTAATTATATATTTTGAAAGAGAGAGAGAATGTCAAGAGGTAATTGAGTAATAATTATAAATGAGAAAAGCAGGATTGAATTCTTTTCCTTACCGTGACTTAAAACTAATGCTTTATAAAATTTTAGTTTCGTCTTGGAAAGTAAAGTTATTGTATTGTTTAAATAATTTATTTTCTACATACTTTAGTTATTGCAATTTTGAATAATTCTGGTCTCTAAGTTAGTAGCCAAGATTTGATTTGAAACAAATGAAATGTCTTGTATGTAGCACCAACAGTGTGATTATGGGACGCAGTTTTATTTCATGAAAAACATTCCCGCACGATGTCTACAGTATATATTTCAAAATGCTGCTTTAGCTTTTTCCAATCTTTTTCGTGCAAAATGACGAAAGTGTTTTGCTGTGTCAAGCAGGAATCACCCGCCGTAAACATAGTCCTCTTTCACGTATTATTTGCTGTATAAGTGTTCGTACCTATATTTAAAAAAAATGACATTTTCACATCTTAATCGTATTGAATAATAAGGGTAAAATTTAGTTTTTTTTTTAATGATCCTACCCTGATATATATCCGCCACTGCTATATGAATAATCAGCGAACAAAACACTACAGTGAAAGAAATCAACGTAAACTTTAAAACGCTAATAAAATGTACGCAAGGATCTTCAATATTTTGAAGATTGAAGTACATGTAGATATGAAAAGAATTTTCCAACGACTGACACAATGAAAGCGTGTCGAACACTTGAATGTCACGTGAGAAAAGTGATTATAATATCAAAGGGGTCACATGGGCTGAAACTCGTAACCTGCTAATTTAGTAGCTATCTCGAGCGAAGTTTGGGTACATTCTTTTTAAAAATTAGATATGAGCCGCAACTTGACCAACATTGTCCTTCGGATATGTATAAGTTTTAGTTAAAATACACATTCTGTGCAAATGAGAAAAATGGTCAAGTTGCGGCTCGATGTAAACAATGTCGTTGAAAACTGGTATGCATATGAATAACAATAGAAATGAGATAAAACTGTTAGACCCTTGTTTCAAAAGTTCTTTTACAGGTGAAACATGGAATCCTCTTAAACTAAGGTACCAACTGAGAAACGTTCGTGAAAGATTGGCCAAGAATTTAGTGGAGAAAGGCATATGTACAACAGAAAAACAGAACTTTTTATTATTTGACATGACAACACATCCACTTACTGATGGTGGCATCAAGCAAAAACTTATCAAAAAAGTCCAAGAATCTGTGCTCAGTCGCTGGACGAATAATCCCCAGAAAATGGACAAAAGAATGCTCTCCCTTATTTATCTGGCTCACGCTTCGGATGTTTTAGAAAACGCCTTTGCTCCATTATCTGATGACGACTATGAAGTGGCGATGAAGCGCGTTCGGGAGTTATTGGACCTTGAATTTGATGCCGAGAGCATGAAAGAGGGGGCAAATGAACTCATGTGGGCAGTGATAGCAGCTTTTAGCAAATAGGTGGGGAAATGTCATGTGGGGGGAAAAAATTGGGACAATTATGTTATTTAAAGATACACAAATATGTAAGTTGATGAGGATTATTTTTTGTTTTTGTTTGTTGTAAATACATTTCAGGACCATAACATGATAAATTTTGACAGAATTTTTCCATTAGGGTGCAAGTAAAACTTGTGTATAATTTTCTGTCAAGACTTTTTAATGAAACTGCAGACTCAACTTCAATTAAAAAACAAATAATTTAGCCACAACTCAGATTTTTTAAATGTTTTAATGAATTCTCTGTTGAAATACACACATTATTAAAACGTAAAGTAAAATATAGAAATGAAAATTTCTTTAAATAAGAAAGCTACAATATCCATTGGACTATCAGATAAATATGTGCTGCTTTGCGGTTAATACCATTTGTGTAGCCACTTCTTTTTATGCAGTGAGTAGTTTGCACGCATATATAAAGCTTTTTATGATATAAATTGATTAATCACACAGGGTTCATATGTGAACATGTGTATGCATCACACACTGACATTCCTGCTGAGTTAGATAATTGTTGAATAATTCTTTACAATATAAAATCCATTCTTGCATCCATTATTTGTAATAAATTGAGGAAACCAGTTATAGAATGCTTAAATAGTGTACACCTCTTCTGGAGGTAAAGTTTATCTCCAGGATTCATACATGTAGTGTTAAAAATTGGAAATTAAAATTCTAATGCATTACAATTGAGTTTGATGCAAGTGACAGATGCATTGTGATCACCCCAGTTTTACATTGTGATTTAAATATGAGTGGTAGTATTGTGGTATAGTTAAATGTATCTTGGATTTTGCAGCAGTTTTTGGTTGCATGGCATTTATGTTTTGTTTTTTGTTTGTTTGTTTTTTTTTTGAAATTGCCACAAAAAAAGAAATATTCCACTGTAAATCTGAAGGAATATAAAGAATCAAGAGGTTAGAATATTTTTTTTTTGAAATATTGAGAAATTGGGGGTCGGGGTGGGGTACATTTTTTTTTAGATATGAGTCATTTAGGTCATTTGCAACATACATGTACTTTACAGGGTTCCTTTCTCAATAATTTTACAAGAAATTCTTATTTTCAAATTATCAAATGGTATTAGACCAAAAGAAAAATTAGAATACTTTTATACCAGTTAATTTGAACAGATACTAAACAGGGAAAACAAATCCTCATGTTTTTTGTTTTCTTTTTTTTTTATTAACCAAAATGTAGATTTAGCTGGTATTCCTTCAAAATTAGATTCAGAAGAATGGTATTACCAGGCGTTGTAAAATTAGAACTTCTGAATTGTACAGAGAATAATGCTTCCAAACTACATGTATGTTGCATATGTCCTTACATGCTTTTCATGTGTGCATAGCCATATACATGTAATTTCATAAGGATTTCTCTTTTTCATACTGTACATTATGTTTATTTCTACTTAAAGTTCTTCTTTTGTTTTGGTGTTTGCCTTTTCTCCTTATTAAAGACTTACTGTTTAATTCAAATTAATTTAACTTAATTTAACACACGATGTGAAGTATGGCTGAAGTTTACTGAAGATTATGGTGTTGGAAATCCTCGATTTTTTTGTGAAGAATCAATTATCAGTATTTGTTTTTACAATTGGATGATTGTTGTCTGGGACAATCTCTTTCACTTGATCATGAAATATTTGAAATTGACAGGTTCTGTCTGGACCAAACCTCTCAATTTATCCAGAACATTTATTTGTCAGTCTTTAAGAATACTTTAATGTTTATGATTTTTTTTCTCTGTTTTTGTTATATATTCCTGATTTGTTTTATCAGTTATCACTGTGTATTTGATATCACATATATGTATTTCTCTCTGCTAGATGATTTCATCTACTGGTTTTAGGGTGTTGGCAAGTGAAATTGTTGATTATGAAAATAATTATGTTTGCAAAAATACTGTACATTGCTAGTACAGTATTTATGTCAGTACCTCTGAAACTGTTTTATTTGATTCTATAGAAGCTTACAAATCCAGGCATATAATGTACATGTATGGCATATTTTTTCTGGAGTCAATCATATTCCACAAAAAGTTGTATTTATTTTTTCTCTTGGGGGAACATCTGTATATAAGGTAATATTTTGATTTTATCTTCCTCTGAAGTACATCTAGATTGCTTAACTGTAATCTTACTTTTGTCGTAGAATATGTAACACCTCACACTTTATTTATAATGTCTCGTTAATGGTATGACTGTAAGGCGTGAGGTGTGAAAAGTGGTTTGTATGGTCAGTTGGTCAGACCAAGCTTTTCAGAAAACAACACAGAGTGATATTGGTCCCTGTATATTACCATATCACTGCTTATAAGTTCAAACTTATGAATACCTGTAATTATGAAGTAAAAGTATTAAAAAAAAACAACAAGATTTTTATTTATTTCATTTATCTGTGTTTCTTTGAGGAATGCAGGTAATTAACCCTGAAGAAATGCAGGTAATCTTCCCCTCCAAACATTTTCAATTCTGATGTTTCTTCCTTTGTATACATGTAGAATGATGAACGTTTTCGAGGACAGAACAATGATTTAGCAACTTGTTATGCAGTCCATTCTATTTTACTCGTTTACATTTGGAGAGTAGCCTATTGGAGAAACCTTGGCAAGCGAAGATGAGAAAAAATAATCAATTTCTTATACAGTGTATTAATTTGGAATTTTTAATGTATTTCAGGTGCAATTTATTTATAACTAATAAATGTAAAGACGGATTTGATTTTGAAGAGGGTGGTAGCTAACATAATGATTACGGCATATTACTGAAAATGAATTAATGCTTTTAAATATTTATGATAAGTAAGGGTGCCTTTTCCAAAGTTGTGAAAATATGTGGTCCCAAGATCAGGGGTTTATGTTGGGGGTGGGTGGCACTACTGATTATATTGTGGAAATGCATTTCTTCTTCATTCGTCTGCTCTGCCTCTGGGTATTAAGTAATCAAACAAAGCATGCTAAGTGTATAATTATGATGAGTGGTACCTCTTTCGAAATTGTGAATTTCAGGACCTCTGGTTTAAAGCACAAACCAATTTTAATTATTGGGAAGTTGTCACATGATACACAGGTGACCTATAAGACCCTTGGGCCTTTTGTTAGAATGAAACTTTTACAACTTACACATGTAGATAACAATTGGGGGTGTCAATGGCTACGGCCATGTATGGGCTCGTGGTTTTGAAATTAATGTTGTTAGTACTATATATCAGATATGATGAAAATGATAATAAAATTTGATTGTTCAATCTAGTAGAAAAATTCTTTTTGAAGGGGTGTAATTTTTGTTGTACATCCCAGATAGCAAGACATAGTTGGGCCAACGTTGGCCCAATTTTTTTTTCCAACGTTGGCCCACTGTTGGTAACCTTACGTTTGCCCACGGTAATTTTGCTCATCAGCCCAACGTTGGTCCAACATGTTGGCATATTGTTGGGCCAACGTAGATATAATTGTATGACAACTAACAGCCAACCTTAACAAGCATTCTGAGAGAATTACATAAGCAATACATGTCCCCTACCGGGTTCCCCTTTTTCTTCAGGATGTCATTTTATAATAAGGAAAAGTCATGTCCAAGGTAAAACTGAAAGATTTTCAAGTTGTAAATGCCTTAAAACTAATAAAATAATCCACATTAAGACGAAAATTTAACTCGTTTCTCCACCGTCTTTTCCTCGCTTCATATTTTTGTCGACAATCGGAAGTTAGCGCAGTTCGAACCCGATCTTAATTTATCGATTATGAAAAATATTCAAAATGCCATAATTCTGTCAAATATCATCGAAGCGAAGCGAAATTCAGACTTGATCTGTAACTCATTAAGATACACTCACATATCAAAATTCAGCTCAATATCTGCAAGCGTTTAGAAAAAAAGTGCGGAAAACCAAGTGGGACAGACTGACGGGGACAGACAGACAGACGGACAGACAGACAGACAGACAGACGGACGGACGGACGGACGGACGGACGCAGAGGAAACCTATAGTCCCCTCTGGTTTCACCGGTAGGGGACTAATAACTGGTTGGTTAGGTTGGCCCAACGTTGGCCCTTTGTTGAAATGTGAGATGGCATATTGTTGGACCAACGTAGTTATGAGTGTATGCCAACTAACAGCCAACCTTAACAACTGTTTGGTTAGGTTGGCCCAACGTTGGCCCTATGTTGAAATGTCAGCTGGCATATTGTTGGGCCAATGTAGTTTTTAGTGTATGGCAACTAACATCAAACCTTAACAACTGGTTCGTTAGGTTGGCCCAATGTTGACCCCTTTTTTTTTTACAATGTCAGATGGCAAATTGTTGGGCCAACGTAGTTATTACATATAAACATTTGTAATTGGTTTAGTGATTCTTTACATAAACCTATTTTATGACTGTTTAAAATAATTAATACACAATTCAATCTGCATTCATAATGCATACATGGACATGTTCAATGAAAACATTACTAATGATTCACTGTGATAATATTTTATATACATGAATTCAATCATAATTTACAAAATAAATTTAAAAATAGACAATAGATGTAAAATTATCGATTAAAAGTTCTTAATCAGGGCTCACTTCCTTTATTATAGTCCTTTTGTTGTATTCCCGCTCTTTTTCCGTTGTAAAGACGAATAATGACCCCCATCGAATAATGACCGGGGGTCATTTTTCGCTGTCGAAAAATGACCCCCGGTCATTATTCGACGTAGAAAAATGACCCTTTTGCCCGTAGAAAAAGTGTCACTTCCCTAAAAATTTGCAGAACCCACGTGAAGAAAAATGACCCCCGTAGAAAAATGACCCCCTGTAGATTAAAGCTAAAATTTTTAGGGAGCAAAAAAAAAAATTGGATAAAGAAGCATATTGGCCAAAATGCTCACCTGAGCTTATTGGGAATAAACTGATGATATGTTGATCTCATAACATTATACAATTTTACTCAAATGGTGTTAATTAAATATTATTTATTACATATCTATATTTATATTTAACTTATTTATTTTATATATCAAACCCCAAATGTTAAATAAACAAAGAAAAATAGAAGTCAGATTTTCATGGGCGATATTTCGATATTCCTTCATATCTATCGATATGCGTATCGTCCTCACATGTATCACGATATATCGATATCTCGATATATTGTCCCAGCACTAAAACATCGTCGTTTATAAACTTTTTTAACTGAATAATATTAAACAATATTTTATCAAGAATAATTTTTTTTTATTCAATTAACATAAAAGATAAGTCCACCATTAAAAAAATAGTCAAATGAACTCTATTATTTTTAGTCAATTATTCACCCTATATTTGTATATATTTTTTAGACGTCTTTGTCACAATGTTTTCAATCTTCAATATGATGAAGAACATAGCCAAATGTTTACAAAAAATGATTAAAATATAAACCTTTCCCCTCTAACTAATGAAAGATAGGCTATTTACCGAGACTCATATTCTTGACGTTTTTGCACTTACACGGGATTTAATAATGACTGTATGGGGTTACTTTCAGATTAAATATTTATCAGAAATTGTACTTTTCTTTAAAAAGATCATATTTAATATAAAAATTGTAATCAAACACCAAAAATATGAATAGGTAACAAATAATTGTTAAATGGAATGCACATCATTTCATTATAGATATCACAAAAATGTACACACGGTCAAACGATCTACAGCACGTACATCTTTGACTTAAACACATTTTATCAAGATATTACACTATATAGCTGGCAACTAAAGATTTCTTACGATTTATGCATTCCTTCAAAATGGTTACATACCATTCAAATTATTACGAAAGTTGTATGTACATTGTAATTTCATTACACTAGATAGTCTTGGGTTTGTCAACTTCAGGTCTAGCTATAGTAAATAAAAGGTGCCTACATATTTTCTCTTATTCTACATATTCTCTTATTCTTCTTCCATGAAGCATTATAAACCAAAAAATATATGAATTGAATCAAGATTATGTTGGCATGATTGTATTCTGTGAATTTCAAAATGCAGTATTTTCTACCATTTTTATTGAAGCTGTCAAGTACGGGAAAAAGTGGCATTGAATTAATTATGACGTCTTAATGGGTTAGCACAGGTTTAACACATTTACAAGATATGATGTCATACGAAGTAG